AAGGTCTGAAAGCTTAACGAGTTCGTGGTTTCTAAACCCATTTGCGACCGAACGGAATTAGCGCACAGCATCAAAACAAAAGCGAGGACAGCCTTTGGGTGAATAGCGATGAGCACCACTCGTAGCTGTGGAACTTTGATTAGCTTGCTTTTTAGCAGCGAAAACTCATTACGCCCTCTAGCTTTTTTAGATGGAAATTTTGAAACTTCCACTAAATATCGGCGTGTAGAACCACATACAAAATGTATAAAAACGAATACTTACTCATCTTCTGAGCCCGTACTCCCTAGGAGAAGTGCACGGCAGAGTTCTGACACTGTATTATCCTCAATTGAGAACTCGTGAAGACGAGCATTGAAATGAGTCAATTTCTGAAAAAAAAAACATGATTAAGGATCAAAATTTTAGCAGAGGTATAGACGAGGTCTCATTACCCTGTACTCTGGATCTTGCAACAGAGTCTTTAGGAGCGAGCCGAACAATTTTGCTGTGCACTTCATGAAGCCTGGTCTTCCCTCATGAACAGCATCGAATAGTTGTTCTAAAGCAAAAAATTCACTTATTTTGTAAAGTGTCCCTTTATCAACTTAATAAAAAACGAACTAGCTGTGATCTTGTGATCGGCTTCGATGAACTTCTTCAATGAAGAAAAGAACTGTGTGAAGACTAAGCAATCAGTTAGCAGCAACGACTGGCCGCTCGGAACTGAGACAGGTCGACCAGGACATGGCAAAGGCGCATCGTTCACGACAATGTCCTCCTCGGCAATTTCCTGAAACAATTTCAATTGTCAACAATCTTTTCAATGACAAAAAGGAAAAGGAGTGCATCAAGGATGCCATGAAGGAGAAAGAAGTGAGAGCAGAGCGAAATTCCGGGAGGAAAAAATATGCAGAGTGGCAGAAAACCTAGTCCTGAACAGCATGGAGATAAAGTCACAGAAGATCTAACCTGACTAAAGTAAGCCTTAATTTTTGCCAGCATTATTTTCTGATGCTGATGCCTCTGTTCGCGCATTTTGTCACGGAATGCTGCTCGTTCTTCCTTTGTTTTCATCTTCTTCCTAAAAATAGCTTCTTGAGTGCAATTAATACATCCACTTACATCACTCAAATAAAACTTACAAAATCTCAGCATCCTTGACCTTGTCGTAAGCTTTTCTCACTGCGAATCTATGACATTCATGAGGGATTTTATCAATCTGAACTCCGGAGAGAACCTTCGCACCCCAAGCTGCTGCAGTGATCGTATAACTTCGTATAATGTATGATATTGATAGAACGATTTCAATCGAACAGAAGTCTTTGAAAAATTGAAGACACCTGCTCATCCCTCTTCCGCCAAGCATCCTGCAGTTTGTTGACCGCAGAATTGAACCTTTTCTCACTTCGTTTTTGAGGCGTTAAGAAAGGAGTTCCGGTGGCCTCGCCGGACTTATGTTCGCCGTTCACACTGCCAACACAAACAAACTTGGTCAAATCCTGTAAAGTCCATGATTATCAACATCAATAGTATAAGCCAGACATGGAAAACAATGAGACATGAGTGCCACAAAGCTTACCCCAGAACCATTCTCTTTCTGGTCCTTTTCTTTCTTTTCAGTCTTCTTTTTTTCTTTCTTCTCTTTCTGATCCCTCTTTTCTTGCTTCTTTCTCTGTTTGTCAACTTCTTTTGATGAGGCATTAGGAGGTAAAGCCACTCCGCTTCTTCGTTGTGGAATAAAGTTGACGAGAGGTGTATCAGAATCGGAGTCCTCGTCCTTCGCAATCTGAACTTGGGCTTAAACTAAGAACAAGTAGAAGAAATCAGGAAGGAACCTTAATAATACTTGAAGAAACGAAAATTCTCCTACCTCAGATCTCTCTGTCGTGTTTACGATCTTATTCGCTGACTTTGAATGGGAACAAAATATCGGCGCCAGTTTGTCTTTAATTCCATATTCCTTCTTATACCCTTCTTCAATCTAAATAAAAACGTAGTGAGATAAAACAAACATAAACCTTCAAGGAGATGGATGCTCACCTGCCAAGGCTTCCCAGGTTGCTGTGATCCCAACAGCAGAATAAGCGAGCGAATATCGTCCTCAGTAATTTGATAACGCCGTCTGAAAATATTTCGAAATCAAGAAAAACCAAAAATCGTCTTCAAATCTACTCATTGACCACAGTAATGATTCAGGCACTAGTGAGTTAGGCATTGACGAAAACGTACTTTAGATCTCCTTCCATTGATTCGTCCGATCTCTTTGTCATCGTACAGCAAAGTGTAAAACACTGCTCCACCTTTCTTTTCAACGCCCGTCACTTTTGCAAGCACAGTTCTGCAAAATAATATTTCATTAAAGAGCTTCTCTGTGGAGGTAATCGATATATAGCAAAGCAAGATTTCAGTAACAGTGTTATCTGCGAATTTCCCATAGAATCAGCACTTTTCAAAAGGAAAAAACCGTCAGAATTCAGGAGAAGCAATCCAAAATGTCATAGATAAAACGGGTGGACTCTTGTGCACATTCAATGAATAGCCTTTCTCATGCAAATAAAGCAAATGAAAGCAAAATATTCCTTTCAATTTCCAAATTTTGCGATTAACTTATTGCTTAAGTAGTACATTACTAGTATTATGTTCAATCCCTGGCAACAGTGACTGATTCAAGAATATTTTTCCTGCACGATGCTGAAAGACACTTTTTAGATAGAAGTTGTTCACCCTAAATGCGTCACACCCAGAAGTATGGAATGTGTGAAAGGTTCGGCGTAATATTCTTGAAAAAAAAGCTGTAGAAAGAAAAAAGCTAAACGGCGTTCAATTCTTGTCATCTCGAAAAAATGGGTCAGAAACACAAAAAAGAGAAAGCGAAAAACGTATGCAACACATTACCTGTCAGTTCCAGGTGTAAACTCCACGTTTTCACCTTTGATATAGAAATCCTCGAGATAACTCTCTATTGATTCTACAAGGTCATCCAACGAATAAGTGCCTAAAATACAATAATTTGATATCACAATAAAGTTTCACGGAACAGATACAGACTTTCAAAATTACTAGCCAGACTTACTGTGATGAATCCGATTGCACATCTCCTGTATAACAGGTTTTTCAATTTTCTCTCGAAGCTTTGTTAATCTATCATATTCTTGTTGCATTGCCTGCTCATAAGAAAAGCAAAAATCGTCCGGCTTATGACGAGCGCTAAACTTCTTCTCAAGGTCGCTCCTGCAAGTAAACAAAAATTAGGTCTTTCAAAAAACTAGTAATGGCAAAAGAATTTCAAAAATGTCCCCATTAAGGAAAGGCATATAGAGCCTGAAGTAGTAGGTTCTCACAGTGAAACGTGAGATAAAGGTGCTAATATAAAGTGCAAAATAGAAAATACTGGCTGGTGACGACTTCATCCCGAACCCGCCTCGACAGGCTCTCAAATTGCGCTGGCATGGAGCCAATAAGGTAAATAGTGTTCGAATGGGCGTGTTTTCGCGCCGTAGCGCAGATGTAGAATGGAGCGAGCGAGCGCAGCAGAGTCCATTTGATGAAAACGCCAAGCTGGGGGGCACTATATCTTATACCTTGCACCTATTAAGCAATTGATAAAAATTAGCCACCGATCAAAACTGTTTGAAATTATTATAAAATATATTCTAAAAATAAAAGTAGACTAGAAATTACGCGATTATAAGGGACAAAAACGTATTTCATAAACAGAAACGGCCTTATACGAGCACTTCAGTGCCTCCGGAAGAGACCTATCTTTTTACTTCTCCGTCTTTGATAAAGTAGGAGAGAGCTGATTTGTGACGGTCTAATTATTAGGACTACGCCAGGCACAAAGATCTACTGACTTGAAAATCCGAGTAAAGTGTCTGCTAAATTACTCGCATGCAATTTCTCAGTTCCTAGTGAAGGCGCCTTCAATACCTATTGTTTTCCGTGAGAGGAGAAAGAGCTATCTGAGAGAATTCTGCAAACCAATGAAAGTATATCGTACATCGAGCTTGGGTTGGGACGGGAGAGGGGGCATCGCGGCGCAGTTCACTGGTGTGCTTCACTAGGACGCACGTTTCGCAGCGCGAAACACTTTTCGCTGCGGGAACCTCAGGCACCGCTGATCATCAGTGGACCCCAGTGTCCCGCATCGAAATCGTTCCGCGCGCAAAATGCTCGTACGGCTACTTGTCTACGACCTGTCTGTCTTGGACGAAACGAACCTCTTCTGGTCCTGCCACGAATGGCGGAGGGCACAGACAGTTAAAGAACGGCGCCTGGCTCGGCTCCAAATCCCAGGAAGGAGGTGAGAGCCCTAGGACTAAGCCTTGTAGGAGGGAGGGACTTCGAGGTGGGAGCCGACTAAAGTGTGGCAAAAGTTTGAATGTGTGTGATCACAATGGCTATGAGTCGCTGATAAGGCGAGAGAGCGCAGACGAAAGATGGATCTGAGGCGGTTTAAAGGACCGGGTGCAAGTAGTCCGTCAACCGAAATGCTCCGCTCGTTCGTTGAAATACAAAATAGAGGTTTTGCCGTAGTTTGTCGGAGGCAAAAGTCGCTTTCTGAGCTAATGAACCACACCGTAGTCACCCCAGGACAGAAACTGATTTTTTGCAGCAATTGAGCAAGAAAGGGATAGCTTCAGAGCTGCTACCACTGTGTTAGCCAAGAAGAATCATATAGTATGGAAATGAAACGTTTGGAATGCATGGATATTCTGTGCCAAAATGACTCGCTCATCTGCACTTTAATCGAGCATAGTTTTAAAATCTCATTTTGCGGTGGATAAACCAAAAACGAACCAAAAAAAAAAACCCCAAGGACATTATATCAATTCTATGCCATTTTATTTATCAAAATCTTACAGTCTGACAAAATTTCGTTCGCGAAGTTTCATCAGTGTGAAGCTCCTCCAAACAGTTCCTGGACACTTCAACTCCTCATTACGTATGAAGCATGAAGTACTCCAACGGGCGCCCCGCAAGGCTACCTTCATACCTTTGGCTAGCACATAATGCTGCGAAGTGTTATACTCACCGACATCGCGGAAGTTTCGAAAAGATTTCCTTTTGATTGTTTTTTTTTGATAAATTGCGAGTTTTGGAGAACTTTTGGAATTCTTTTAGAAGAAAATTGTTTCTGGCTTCTCTTGTGTTATACAGCAGGTCCTGATGAGGCTCCGCGTCGTATAAATCTAACCAGGAAGGTCTTTCAGGGCGTGACGAAGCTTTTTGAAAACGGTCTTTTGCATGATATAGGGGCAGATGCGGGAACCCACAGAACCATGTTCAATTTTTCCTGAACGGCCCTCTGAATACCAGAAAAGGAGGTCCCTAGTTCGATTCCTCGTGGTAACAAATTTTTGCATTTCGAGTTGACGTGCCAAAATTCGCGCAAAATGGAGTTAGAACCAACCAGAACAATCAGAACTCCATTTTGCGCGAATTTTGGAACGTCAACTCGAAATGCAAAAATTTGTCACCAAGAGGAATCGAACTAGGGACCCCCTTTTCTGGTATTCAGAGGGCCGTTCAGGAAAAATTAAACATGGTTCTGTGGTTCCCGCATCTGCCCCTATATCATGCAAAAGACCGTTTTCAAAAAGCTCGTCACGCCCTGAAAGACCTTCCCTGGTAAGTGGGTTGGGGGGGAGGGGCACG